AACAAATTGTAGAATAACACGCAAAATGCTAAATAATTAGCTTTTGGACACCTTCGATGTGTGAAGAGATGCTACCATTCTTTTTATAGGCCCATGCCTAAACAATAAATCTGAACAAAGAACCATTTTACACGTAGGAGTATGGTGTGAAATATTTCTATCAGAAAACACCATTTTGGAATATTAGAATTTCAAAATTAGTTTTGATTATTGATTAATGATATATCCATCAGGTTATTTTGGATCAAACCCAAGGAAAAATAAAATAATTAAAAAAAAAGACAACATGCAGAATACAGCAATTCAGTTAATTTTATTGTATTGACATAACCAGTAAATTATAGTTTATAGAAGAGGATAAGATGATGATGATAATAATAATATTAATAACAATTATAATCAAACCATAACTAGGCCTACAAACAGTACGGTATAATTGTTAGGCAGTTAAGGAATATTGATTCTGGCTATTCAAAAAAACATGACGTTGACAACATTCTTTTGCTCATTATGTTGGTAGGTGATACTTGCCTTCCAAATCCAGGATTGTGGGTTCAAGCCCTTCAAATGATTTTCCATCACGAACAAAAACAACTAAAGCTAGTAATAATTTCAATCTTGATAAGCCATACATATAATTCTTAAAACCGAAAGGTCCACTGATTAATTTCGGATAAGATAGTATTAATACATACTCCAAATATCCAAATGCACCGTCCGCCAACGTGTCGGGGTTCAATATTTGGACATTAATTATGTCATCATCAGGATGACATAAACTAATGTCGAAATATTGAATCCCGACAGGATGGCGTATTTCGATACTTGGAGTATGTATTATACTATACTTATTCTTACATTATATCAATGCAATTCAACTATTGCCTTGAGTAAGTCAAACCAACCGGGTGTTGTACCCCCTCCCCCACCACTCCGCCCCTCCAATGTTTCAGTCGGTTTTTTAGGTTTAACACTATTCAATTTAATGCTTTTATCCTGATGTTTGTATTTTTATATAAGACCTTTATCTTCATCATATTACATAATATCATATCTGATAAATTAAAAAAAAGCATATGACATTCCTAAACAAATGAATAACTTATAAAAACAAAGAATTATTTTGGAATTAATTTATTTAGCATAAACCGTCTACTCACTTTTGTCTATACGCAATTAAACCACAACACGTTTGTTTTTATTTCAAAATGGTTTTATTTTTAGTATTTTATACCTCCTAAAATCACACGCTGATTAACGAAGTATTCGAACATTTCGTTGGAAATTTACAACAGAGATGGTATGACTTACCAAAAGAGAATAAACATACGAATGCATTTATGTTTTTAAAAAAAATATATATTTATTTATTTATTTTATTTTTTTTTTTGTAATTCGGTAAAACGCAGATTCCCCAGGAGAGGATCGAACTCTCGACCTCCGCATTACCTAATCAGTAAGGACGAAGCCAAGTACTGTCTATAAGTACGGCGCGCTAACCGACTGAGCCACTGGGGAATACAATACCACTTTCCTGCATTCCAAATACTGTACCTGCAAGTTTGCTTTGTAGACAAAAGACCGAACTATCCCCTCTGTATAATCTATCATAATTATGTATATAATCACTTTTATTTTTAAAAAGGGGACTCATTTGTAACAAATCGTGGCCAATGGCCAAAATGCAAGTTTCAAATACAATTAGGCCTATCATCAAAATATTACATTAAAAGGAAATAATAATTTTAATTATTAGTATTATTATAATTATTTTTATGATTTTTGTTATTATACATGCCAACATTTGAGTAATAGAAATCAAAAGAAAAAAATATGATGAGTGTGTTTCTTCATAGATTGTTAGTATTTTGGCGCTATGCGCCAACCGAGGGGATGGATTTGGGAGAGGGGTGTTTCCCCTCCCGTGAAGTGGGGTCCGAGGAGCGAATCCCATGGAAGCTCCAGGGATTCTTTCTCTTTAGAGAGCCAAAATGATCGATTTGGATATTTATTACCTAATTAATAATTTGTTAAATTTGAATTAGGCTTAGGCTATAAATTCAACCATCCGTATTTGTAGGCCTAATAATTCATTCTTAAATCGGGAGAAGAAGCTGGGGAATCGGAAGAACGATTTTGAATCAGGAGTCTCGTGATCAAATCAGGAGTGTTGGCATGTATGTTATTATTTATTATTAAAACAAATAAAAGGGATAGAAACCAAGGAAAAATAAAATAATTAAAAAAAAAGACAACATGCAGAATACAGCAATTCAGTTAATTTTATTGTATTGACAACCAGTAAATTATAGTTTATAGAATAATTATAGAAGATGATAAGATGATGATGATAATAATAATATTAATAATAATAATATTAATAATAATAATAATAATAATAATAATAATAATAATAATAATAATAATAATAATAATAATAATAATAATAATAATAAGGACGATGAGGATATTCATGATGATGAAGATGATTATGATGATGATGATGATGATACCGGCGATGATGATGGGGATGATGGATGAGAGGATCATGATGATACCGGCAGAAAATTCTGGACCCGCACACTGCCGTTTCGGTATAAAAAAAAAACAGTCCACTGTATGGGGAGAATAATCTTATCTTGAGGGACAGGCTAACCAAAAACTTAAAATTTGGCATGTTTTCAATTCTTCATAAAACGATAACATACATTCTTCATAATTTTATTTTTATTGACATAAAAACGAGACAAGAAAGTATAATACATACTCCAAGTATTGAAATACACGCCATCGTGTTGGGATTCAATATTTCGACATTAATTATGTCATCATTAGGAATGAAAAAATTATCCATATTAGCAAGCTTATATGCACTAGTACCAAAAGTGTTTAACCAATCAAAACATTACCTCTAGTAGGTGACATAGCAGTGATTTAAACAAAAGATCAAAGCATTCTTACTCTACTAATGATCAAAGATACCTACAAAAACAAAGAAAGCTCTTTTGACGCTCTGAGCCCATTGTTAAGCAAAGGGTGTAGTATGTAGAATTAAAATAATTATAACAATGGGCCTAATTTGCAATGCAAATACAAATTCACTTATAATATGAAATCAGCAGAAATGTTATTAAAGCAACAAGTTATTTTCAATACTGAGCTTTCTATTGGATACATGTAGCATGAATTGAAAAACTATTTTTTAGGCCCGGATGGTATGGGTTAGAATCCTATATGAAAATACACGAAAAACAAAGAAAGGGAAATCCCCGTGGTTACCTGTACGAGAGGATTTTGATTTGATATTAAGTTTAAGGTGTCAAATTTATTTATTTATTTATTAAGGTATAGCAAAATATTACAAAAGGCAGAACAGGTCTGAAATTATTGCATTACATAAAACAGATAACCAAATAGAAACTTACACAAAGCTGAAAACACACCAAAATCACACACAATATCAAAAATATACAACCAGATAAAAAATAGACAATATAAAAAGATTAGCTAAATACGAATAGTAAAATTGACATTAAAAACATTAAAAATAAAAAACAATAAAACATTAGAAAAACATCAAAAAATACATTAAAATACAAAAATAGCCAATATTGTATATACAAATTACTAAGAATGGATTACTGCACTTTAAGAAGAAATTTAAGAAATTAGCTAAATATAAATTGTAAAATTTACAAAAAAAAAATATAAAAACAATAACTCTTTAAAATAAAATAAAATAAAAAAAAATAAAAATAGTCAATACGTTGTGCATCTTATTGCGAATTAATTAGTTGAACAATGAAAGGAATAGCTGAGCGTTTATATCTATCAGTATTGCACTTTGGCACTTCAAGGCATTCATGCTCGCACTCATCATGAAGGTCAGTGTAGTTAACAATTAAATTGTTAGCAGAATAAATAGATACGCCTCCACCCTTTTTTCCGGATCTAATTTTATTAAAATTTTGATATCCAGGTATAAGTGCAACATTCTCAGTTTCAGCGTCTAGCCACGTTTCTGTAATCACTGCTAACTCAATTTTAAATTTATTAAAAGTAGCCTCAAGCTCGTCAACTTTGTTTCTGATCGACCTTGCGTTAGTTAGGAACATTTTTGGGCACGAAAAAACGTTACTGTCAGATTGATTCTCAGTTTTAATAGCTACAAGATTTCTAATTACAATACCTCTCGTCTTAGCCGATTTGTATGGCCTATTTGAATTGATCACAGATATTTTTCTTCTTAGTTTCCTACCTCCTCTTCTCCTACGATGTTTCCTTTTACAAAATGGCCGACTAGGTCTAGGCCAAGCACAGTTCAATTCGTAATTGAATGCAATGACCTCCAAAGGCACAACTTGCTTCACGAATCGTAGCGCGGTCAGCTCCCGTTCAGAATATCGGTAACACATTATAAAAAACCACGAACAAATCTTCGTTCTTAACGCACAGAGAAGCAAACAAGCAATATTTATAGTTAAATCACCAAGATGCACAAAAAATCACATAAAAGCACAAAATTTCTGGAAAAAACAGCAAAAATACCATAAAAACAAGAGCCAAACACAAAAAACGTGGAGTCTCGCAGGTAACAGCGCCCTCTGATGAAATATAAAGTTAAATACATTTTTCTTATTTTAATAATAATAATAATAATTATTGCGATACACATGAAAAAAAATGTAGGCCTATTAATCAATCAAAATGATTCCATTTTTATGTCTCCATTCCAACAGTGCTCGTGGTGTGCTGTTCCAAAGAAAAGGTACGTTTAATGCCTTTGAGTAGTGAAGGTTTATTGATTTGACCATTTGGCGCACTCAGTAAAGTGTCCCCGTCCCTTCTTTAATAGTCTCAGTTTGCAGTAGTGTTAAAAAATATATTTCTCGTTTTTTGTCTCACTACATTATACTATCATGAAGAAACAAAAGAGGGCGGACTTTAGAACACTAGGCCTAGGCCTCTCAGCTGTATCGGCTGTATCTATATTCTTGGCCCAGAATAGAGGCAGCGGAGTAGTAGTACTAGTAATCGGGATTCTACCGAAAGTAGATAAATGTAACCGCTACACATGAGCTACGTTGTTTAAACTGTTTAATGTATGCTATTGATATGTGGTGAGTGATAGATGTGTTAGCAAATGAATAAGATAAATGAAAACCTAGATGAATTATGAGATTTAAAGGTACCACAGGTAGTCTAGGCTAGGCCTTGGCTATCGCCTCTCTGCTCTGACCTCCTGCCCTGGGCCAGGCCAGCCGCGGCCGGCTTGCGAATTTTTGTTATTCCTGGACGTCGTCTCAGCCAAGCCAATTGGTGGCGCTATAATTTAATAAGAATATTCATTAGCAAAGACCCCCGACTGAGGTCCTTGCAGCCCCCTGTCCCCCAGCGTCTGTTTGTTCGCTCCACTTTACTTGCAAACTTAACGCTAGGCAACATCACCTCTGCCGGTATGAAGGGCCTTGAATGGGCGTGTGAATTTTCTGTTTGCTACTTGGCAATTTATTGCGAACATTAATACTAACTTCATATACAGTAGGTATCAGTGTATATTTGTTTTAAAAAGTAATAAAATTGAGAGAAAGTGGTCTGGCTAAAGCCGGTGAGGTTCCAACGGCCCTGCAACTTGCAGGAGAGTTGGGACACCTGATGTTTATAATCATAATTCTAGGAGCTAGGCCTACTACAGACTATATAATGATGTAATCATAGCACCACCACTGTATTTGTCAAGGAAATTTAATTATAAAAGTAAATGAGACCCAGAAGTGTTGGATTAAGATAAGCTGTCTGTATAGTATCAGTAATATTTTATTGTCAATTGTGGAAAACATGAAATTCAGATAACATGGTGCTTTCAAACTTAAGTACAGTTCAACTAAAATAAATTATATGAACCAAAAATGTTGTATTAAGTGAAACTTGGTTAAGCAGTGGTTGAGGTAAGATGAACCATATTATAACACAAGTTTCTTTAATACTTAAGTAATTTAAGTAAAATTAATTATTTTTATATGACCCAGAAATGATTGTAACTGAAATGAACTGGGTTAGGCCTACTAAATTTGTAGTCGAGGTGAGATAAGCTAGGATATAACACGGTACTGTACTTTCAAACTTAAAAAAAATATATATCAAAACTAAATATTTGCTTACAGATGAGATAGAAAATATACTTATTATCATAACATTTTTGACATACATTAATTAATCTTAATACAAACTATTAGAATTGCATTATCATTAAAAGGTTAAATTGAGGACATGGGCTCAGTTCTAAACAAGGGACTTTCTGTTTCTGTTTTTATTTAGATAATTTTATAAAATGTGATCTTAACTAGTTTTGACCCTTTTGGATTCACAGCATTGGTTGTGAGTGCCACTGATCTTAAAGTGTTGTTTAAAAAAAAAAAAAATAAAACATTTAAGAGGGCACAATCTACCAGACTTGGCTATATCAACCAATAAATCATAATTATATTCAGATATTACTACCAGCAACACAGACAACCATGTAGTGCATCAGTAAGAACAGAATAAAGTAATTTAACTAATAACACCTTAAAAATGAAAGCATACAGACACTAACCCAATAAAGTAAACATTAAAATATAAAGTATTATGATAAAACATCATTATAATTATTCCAGGTCATTAACTGTGTTAAAACATTCAAAATTTCTTTATTTGTGTTCTTTTTGGAAAATCAGTCGATACATCACATCGCAAAAAAAAGAGTGGGAGATTGATTTAGAAAAACAAAGAGCAAAATTATAATTAAGCCCTAAAACTTATTTGATATTGTGATTAAGAATTCTAATGGGAAGTGGTACAAATGAGTTTTTTGTTCTACAGATTTGTGATTTTAATATTTTACTTTAGGCTAGCCAAGTAAAAGATGCGTTTAGTGGGTGGGAACTATCTGTTAAGATACTCTTTACTTTATCAATAATTTTACTGTGTATGGTCTGTTGGTTATGGTCTGTTGGTTCTGCTATAGCCCTATCCCTTGGATGGATATTGTTGCTAAGGTCCCAGTACCGACAGCCATTCGTAGAGAAACATGGCTGTGTGTGTTTGTAGGACATGTGCATATCCCTGGCTCTGTCTCTTTAATAACACATTCTGATTGGTCTGTTGTTAAGTTTTATTGACATTAAAAAAATGGAAATACCACTGTATGAAAACCATGGTGTATGTAATGAGAAGCCATTTATTGGATGATGTAATCAATCAGTTATCTCCATGTCTTCACAGTGTCATCTCTTGTTCTTATATCTTTAGGAAACATTTTTCGTAAAGTTGCATTAAGCTATCAAGCTAAGATGGAAAAGTACAAAAACTGATTTTAACATTTCTCAACAAAAGTACTCCTCAACAGGTAAGAAATTCTTTTGCATTGGTATCACTCATACTTTAGATATGACTAATCTTTTTGTGGTTACTGAACCGGTTCGGGGCTATGTATAAAGCAACTCCCGACTGAACTGTGGTCTTTTGGTCACTGGTCTTAATTCAGTCTACGTGATGTCTCTGTGTATCAGCTGAGTTATAATACAGAATAGAGCAACTTTATAATAAAATAATTATTAGATTGATCTGAAACAAAGTAAGTTACTATTAAAGTCTCTTGTGCCTTCTCAAATATTGTTGATGGATGGTTTTTTTATTCAATATTTGTTTGCTTTTCTTCTGTTTTTTTTTTCTGTATTTTTTATGTTCTCCTTCTTGGAGGTGTTTTTTGAATAATATTTAAATTGAAATAGTTGGTGTGATGGATCTAGACAAAGACTATAAAAGTGTGATTTGAGTTAGCTTGTAGTAAAGCAGAGCTGTTAGTCAGCGCAGTAAAGCAGAGCTGTTAGCCAGTGTAGTAAAGCAGATGTTTTAACCTTCAATTAAAAGTACATTTGTTGCCATGTAGCAGTGAAGCCATCAAGAGGCATGATATATTATTGTTAAGGAGAAACTTTTTGATACCTTTATAGTAAACTTTTTTTTTATAGATATTTATTTTATTTATTAATTTTATTTAATAACTATAAGTTAGCCAGCAATAAACCAGAGCTGTTATCCAGTGCAGTAAAGCAAATTTGTTGACCTGTAGCAGTGAATCAGAAGTTATAAATGCCATCAATTGTATTTCAGTTTTATTCTTTCGTTTTATTCTTTTGTTTTGTAACTTCACTCTAAACTCTGAAGAGTAAGCTGCATGTAGGTGAAAGAGAATATATTTGATTGAAGTTTGAAAAAGAAGTGAATATTGCCATTGGTCCTTGCTGGCATTGCTATCACATGGTCATAAAGAAATTTGATTTGAGTGTGATTTAAAATTTTAAATTATTAATTGTTTACTAATAAAATTGATAAATGCTTTGTATTTATATATTTGCACAAGAAATAATTTTGATTGTGGGAGATTTTAATTTTGTTAATGTTAGTGGGTGTGCTAACAGGCCAATAATAAAAAGGTTGTTGTAGTTTTTGTTTTTTGTTTGATATAATTATTATCTGCGGATGAGCTTTAAAAATTCTTACCTAATGGTGAAGGCTTATGGTGAATAAATTTTAAAATAGAGATATGAAACTGATTGACAATGTTTTCTAGGCATTTCTAGGTATCATCAAAGGCAAACAAGAGAGTTTCTATGAAGGAAGTACCTACATTACCTTGCTGTGAAGGCTTTGAGAATCTAGATTTAACTAAGGTAAGGTAACTGTTGTTGGTGTAACTTCTTGTTAATGTTGTTGTATTTTTGTTAAAGTTATTGACTTCTTAAATTCCAATCAATATTTAGAACAAAAACAAATTTACAATTAACTGATGTATGAATATTACCATTCTTGTATTTCATTAACAATTCAGCCAATTTAATGATTTTTGTAATAAATCTTTAAATTATTAAGAACTTAATTGTTTTGATTTGTGTCTCAATGGAAATTGATAATATAAAGGAAAAATTAATTGTTTTATTTTTTTTTATTTTTGAGGTGTTTTCATTTGTCAACAGTAGAACAGACATTGAATATACAGGTGTACATGAATTATTGTTGATTGTGTATAGAAACCTGTTTCTTAAGCTGCATTTGCTTCACATTTCCAGTGCGACGAATGCCAGAATCTCTAATTCGGATTCGGTGTGGACGTATCTTTACACCACATTATTTTTTTGCAATACTCGCTGCAATCACAAGTTGCCTGTGAATTATATACCATGTTTTTTTTTGTTTTTTTTAATTAGTGTATTGTTTTTTTTTTTTTAATTAGTGTATTATTTGAGTTGGATTGACCATCAATGTTTGGCTCACACAGCTCAAATATAAAAGCTATAAATGCTCATAAGAACTTAACATCCTAAAAAAGCAGTTTTGGATGATTTACAGACAGTTTACAACAAAAATACTTAATTAACTGTACGCCAGCCAATTGAATTGTCAAATTTTTAATTGAGGTCGTCATCATCAGTATTCTGCTTGAACTTGCATGAGTTGTTCATAGTTTCCTCCATTCAGTGCAATTTGTGCTCATACTTTTCTCCATTTAGTGCGATCTTGTGCCTGCCTTGTATTTTTTTAGGTAATACAGGTACGTTAATTAAGTCTATAGTAAGCAATTTAGATATTGAATTATATTTTTCAAGTTCATTAAGCTCAACACAAGGAGTATAGGCTTCACATTTTTTTGCAGGTTGATGTTTCATTCTTGATGGGACTGTCACGGATCATTGACCTCACAGACATCAACCTCTATGCAACTATTATGTGCATCTTCTTTAATCCAGTTTTCTGGAATGTTGTAAGTCATTTAATAATATTAATAATTGTTGACTTATATAGAGCATATTGTAGACTAACCTCCATGCGTTTTATTTAAGAGCCCATACATTTTTGTATTAAATTTCTAAATCAAATACTTTCAGTTGTATATTTCATGTCCCATCATGAAGACAGCAAACAAGTCATTCTATTAATGATTGAAAGATTAGGAGGCAAACAAACATGGGGTATCATCTATATACATTTACATGAGACACTAGGTACCTTGTAGTAGAGAGTTATCAGGGGTGCCAAGTTGGATCTTGGTAAAATGAGCTTTCTTAACAAACCTAATTTTATTTTTCTGCACACCATGATAAACACGTTATATTTTCATTGCGGACTTTTTGGGCTCAGTACGGACTCTAAATGTATGCATTTTCTTTTAGTTTTAAGGCGTATGTGGATTTTATAAGTCCGCAATGACGATATAACGTGTTAATACCTATCGTCACCAATTTCTCTGAGACAATTGGTAAATAAAGTAACGTGCAAATATTATGAATTTGTGGAGGATGGGTCATTTTCTGGGGGGTTTTCGCATGCATGTGGGAGGCCGCCCAAATTTCTGGGAGACTTGGTACCCTTAGGTTTACATTATAAAAGTGGGGCATGCATTTAAAAACAAGAATGTATTACTGTGTACAGTATATTATGTGCAATGGGTTAGGTATCTTAATTTTGTTTGCTGCCCTCATTGTTCAATATGCTAAAATATTCTGCAGCTTTTAGGGTTGTTTTGCTTGTGTTGATTCCTTTTATATTTCTTCTACCTTATCCTTAACACTCAGCAGTCAGTGACTCAGCAATTACAAGACAGACAATAAACCTTATGACTTTTGCTATAGAAATTCTTATTATGGGCTTAGCAAATGGGACTTTTACTAGAGAAAAAAATTCTGGTTCTGAACTGGGAACTGTCATGAGACATAGGTAGCCTAACCAAAGCTAATCATTTGTGCTCTCAAAAACAGTACATAACAGTAAACATACATTAGATGTATACTTG